GCTGGACTCTCTCCAGAAGATCCCTGTCCCTCTTGAACTGGGGAGCCCAGAACTGGACACAACACTCCGGATGTGGCCTCAGCAGGGCAGAGCAGAGGGGGAGGAGAACCTCCCTTGACCTGCTGGCCACGCTCTTTTTAATGCCCCCCAGGACACTGTTGGCCTTCCTGGCCACAGGACACACTGCTGCCTCATGGCGAACCTGCTGCCCACCAGCACACCCAGGTCCTTTTCCACAGAGCTCAAAACCAACAGGAGGATGTGTCTGTAGGAGATAATGCTGTTAATTTTAAGGAGGTTTTTGTTTCTGTTGGTTTATATTTCAGATTAGATTATCAAACACTGACAGGTCCAGTGAACATATAAAATAGTTTGCGTAAAGCATCGTTAAGCTCAGTGTCCAGAAGGTACTTCAGAATTATAAAGTTCAGCATTTATTAAGGCAGAGACTTGCTCTTTTCTTGCTTAAAGTTAGTTTGGAATTACTTTAGAAATGCCAGTTAAAATATAATCTTGGTTTCTTGAGTGAGGGAGGATTATCCAATTTGAGAAGTACCTGACTCGTGGGGAGGGCAGGGAAAATGATGATGTAGTTTCTCTTTCCTGCTGTAATATGTACTGTCATCTTATTTTCAAGGAGTTTTGAAGAAATCTGACGGGTGGGTTGGTTTGGGTTGCTGTGAGCTGGCTATCGCTGTGGAATGTCGGCAAGCGTGTAAACAGGTAAGGCCTTCTGACTGTTTTTTCTGTGGTTCATGTCAAATGACACCATGTTGAATTCATTTATGTGTTACTGCTTATGAACTTCAGGCTTGATACATTTTTTTACATCAAAATTAAATTATTGCTTAAGCTCTTAAACTCTCTTTAAAATTGCAAACTAAGACTAGATACTTCCCAGGAAGTACTGCTGGTGATAAATGTGAGCAACCAAATTCCACATTTTTCAAGTGAATTTTAAGTAGTAAAAGTTCAAGTCTACTGAGATGAAAACCTCTTTTTAAAAAGTGGTGGGTTTTTGGGGAGACTTTTTTTGGATATCTGTTTTCAGCTGTGTTGGAGGACTAGGCTGCTTGCTATGACTTGATGAGCCTCAAGACGAAATTTGAACACCTTAGGGTGACCTGTGTCTTTTCTTTTTTCTACATTCTGCTGCCACGTTTCATTGCTCAGTGGTGAAGATACAGTGAAGAAGAAATCTTCCTGTGTTTCTGACTTTGACACCACAGAAATTCCAGCGGGAGAGCAGGCAAACTGGCTGCAGGCACATGGCCAGGGAAGCTCATCCACTCGGTTTTGCTTTGCGAACAGCAGGCGTGTGATTATTGCTGATGTGCTCTATTTCATTCCTTTGTAGTAATTTATTGACTGCATCCATAAAGATTCTGAAGCTCTCTTTGGTTATGCTAAATTTAATTTTTTTAAAATTTTTTGGTCGCAATCTATACATGAAAATTGATATTTTAAAATAATGGTGAGTGGAAGGAAATACATGGCTGTTTCTAAGCTCCCTTTTTTCACAGCATAAAGTTTAGCGATGCGACATAGTGCTTACAGTCCCCAATAGATTTTTTTGCCTCTTCCAAGAGTTTTTGGTTCATCGAATGGAAGAAAGTTGGTTTTGGTATTACTATATCACTATTTTTGTCAAGTGACAATTTTAAGCATAATATGTAAATTTAGCAGTGACCTTTTTATTAAAATCTGTGAAGCATTTTATGATTCTCCCCTCCAAAAAATATATGCTTGTGACATTATAAATATCTTAAAAGTTAAGAAGCATGTAATTTTTTATCATCATCCTTGTAACTCAGTTCTGGAGTGTTGAGATGTACTGAATAGTCACTGTAGTGTCTTGCATGTTACCTGTGGAATCTTGATCGTGGAGTAGCAGCCTACTGCAGATTGTTGGCCTGCAAAAAAGATACGCTACCTTCACCCCAAAGTGTGTGGTTCAGGCTGTTTGACAAGAGATGAGCAGCAAATACACAAACTGAGTGGTGTGGAAAAGAGAAGAGGAGCAAGTAAACAAACTGGGTACATTTGATCTTCTAGAAAGATCCATTTATCTGTTCCCAAATGTATTTCTTAGCAAAGTTTTCGTATTTATCCTAATGTTTAAGTGTTTCCCAGACCTGATAAAAACACTTCTGTTTATTGCTGTTAATTTAGTCTTATTATTGTCATATAATTTCTCATAATTCTCAGAATCAGGTGCTGTATTGTTTGATTGCAGACTCTGCTGTCTCAGAATCTTGGCTGTATTTTGTACTTTAGCTGACTCTGGTTGATATATTTCGTATGGTTTCACTTTAAACTAAAATGTAGATACTGGGGATAATGGGAAATATTTGGATTTTCATTTTGGTTCTTGAAACTTGAGAGGGTTTCGGAGGCATTTTGAAGAAGGTGATATGATAGGCTTTACTTTGGTATTTTGAATTACTGGAGAGAGAAATAATTAATGTTAGTAGTAGTAATAATTTTTAGTACCTGTCATGAAAAAGGAGCAAGAGGTGCTCTACAGAAGAAACTGATCTGCAGTTTGAAGGGGGAATTTCTGCAACTCAGTCTGACAATAGGAACTGTAGGACTGTTCGTACAAGATAGAAGGGAAGGTAAAGAGATACGTAAGTGGCACAGAGCATGCAAAATGGGGAGATTTTTATGCTCAAGTTCTTCCATTTCCTAAATGTTTCCCAGATTCTGCTCTATCTGGTTAACTTTTTACAAAAACCTTTGTGTGCTTCCTATATCAACTAACTTGGTGCAGAAATATGAGGTTTTGGGTGTTTAATTAAATGTAATATTGACAGTCATGGTTTCAGCTTTTTTTCTTAAAGCTTTACATGGATTCTTTAGGTTCTTAAAAAGGAGCATTTAAATAGATCATGGATCCATGGTTATCACCTTAATATAAAGGTAGAATTGTCTTTATTTTGCAACATAATTTTCTTATTTTCTGCAACAAATGGAGAAAATTATCTGTCTTTCAGGCTTCTGCGAAGAATGATGTTTTAAAGATCTGCAGGAAGGAATACGAGGTATGTGTAGATATGTCTGGATATATCTTATTAAAAATCAACTGGTTTATAAATTCTGTAAGAAATATCCTGTAGAAGAGGGAAAGTCCAGTGCTCTTATAGTCATATTTCCGGATATACTAATTTCCATCCAAATGTAAATGATCTCTCTCTACAGTACAGTAATTTTCCATAAAAAGGACTTGTATCTTTTTAGACTTGCATATATCTTAATTGGAATGAAAAAGACATAACTTTCAAAATGGAGACAGTTTGTTTCATGGAAGTTCTGGTGAAGGTCGGCATTCATTGTGAGCATTCATTCTGTCAGAAACATTTTGGTTTCTATAGTGGGAGAGTCAGCCTGAAAGTGACCTAAAGAAATAGACTCAGGAAGGAATCACCTTTTACATATCCTATCCTAATGTCAGTCATTTCAAATGAATAATATTTTATAACATCAGTGAAACTGTTAATGCTTGCAATTATTTTTACTGTTCTACTCTTAAAATTGATCATCAGGATGTTTTCAGAAGTCTGCCTATACCTATATTCTTTTTAACACAGTTTGTAGAAATGCTGTTCTGCCAGGACTTCCTTTCTTTCAATCTGTTTCTTAATTAAAAGCCAAATACCTCCTCGTCCCACTCATCTCATTTCCTTCCACCCTGAATTAGGTAGTCCTGCATCAATTCTGCCCATGATCAGCAGTTCAGGATATCACAGTTCTCTGTTCTCTTGATTTGGGCAGAAGTATAGCAGGTTTCCTGTTTTTCCAGGAAACATTATATTCCTTTTTTTTTTTTTTTTCCCCTCCCTTTGGTCCTTTTATCTAAAAAATTTACCGAATATTTTCCTGGACTGTTGAAGTTAACCTCAGCTTGCTGTCTTAAAAATGAATTTTCATTTTAAGTAGTTCTGTCCCCTCTCATGCTGTGATATGCTGTACTGTCAACATCTATAAGCTTCTCCTCTATTATGCTGGTCTGTTTCCTTCTTTTTTTCTGGATTTCTGCATTGCTGTAGGAGGTTGGCCAATATGGGTTGAAGGAGAACGGGAAAGGAAAGGTAAGAGATTAAAGAATGACTACAAAATGGTGATAGTCATCTTATTTGCTTTTCCTAGTTCTTCCTTTTTTCCAGTTTTTAAGGTAAATTCTGGAAAGTGGGTCCCTCACTCTTACTCAAGAGTGATCTTGCGGTTACTGTACAGAAAAACTTCACTATTTCTATCAATGCAACACTAAAAGAGAAGGAGAGGGAGGAAAATGATGGAAGAAGGAATCAGTCTTTTGGCTGGTGAAGACTGAAAGAGAACTTATTTTAAATGAGTCCTGGTAATAGATAGAGATGCTGTGTCAGGGACAGAAATGGCAGAATTTTGTATGACAATGGGTTTTCCTGTGTATCTGGGCTTACAGGTACTCATGAAAAATAGTACTTACAGTGCTCTCCCATTGGTTATATAAAATGCAAGGAAGTTTTGCCTAGGATTGAGGATTCCAAAAAATACTTCAGGAGGAAACCTGCACTTTTTCACACCCTAGTAATTCTTTCTCCTTTAAAAAAAAAAAAGTAAGAATAAATCTTGGTGCCTTGGTGAGTATGTCCTGCTCCCTCTGTAGTCTGTAAACTTCTGTCTCTGTGACTGGTACCGTACTTCGTACTCAGTTGAGTTGGCTGGGGAAGAAACTGAATGACTGGGAAGGGAGTGGCTAGTGAAAGAGGGGACTGAAGATCAGAAACAGCCTGTGAATGACAAAAACACAATGTCATACATACTGTGTTTGTATTTAAGAATTCATGCTTCACTAAAAATGAGGATCCAATTGGAGAATTAGTTTACCATATAGATCGTAGTGCTTGTTCATCAGCTCTCAAGTATGTTATTGAGGTATTGAATATATAAGTGCATGACATGTAAGTAAAAACTAGCTGAATGGAGAATATGAAAGGATAATTCCCTTTTTGTAAACACTCTCACAGCTTACTAACTTCCATAGCTTACATACTCACATGAGGATTTCCCAGAGGATTTTCACAAGCCTCTTACAATAGTTAACTAAACTGTGTGTAGTAATTTTCTGTAATCTTTTGAGATTAGGGAAGCAACTTCATGAGTTATCCTTCAGCTTCCCACTAAGTTAGTGAACATGAAGAATGAGGTAAGTCTTCAAGGGTAGGGCATAGGATTCACCCCAAACTCCAAGCAGGAGGTGTCCCAGAGTTGCTAAGCAGAGTCTCAGGTCGTACAGTAGCAGAATCACTTTAGCATTGATGTGCCAGCTTTTCATAAGATTAACTGAAGATGCTTTTTCTGCTGATCATGTTTCTGGATTACTTTTACTGTAAATATTTATGAAGCCTGTGATTCCTCTAATTTGGAGATGTTACACCTTTTAGAAATGAATCATGTTGTAATAAAGCTGTTCATTTTTGATCAGCGCATTGAAGATTGCATATCCTATGAAGCATTTTCTGTTTTCAAGTAGCACTGCATACAGAAATGAAAAAACTTAACACAGCTTGCTGAGTATTTTGAGTGTTACTGAAATGTACTTTATTTGCCTTCTTTTAAGAGATTTTATTCTGATAGTTCGCTTCCCATCTTCTGCTTCTCAGATACTTATTTTGTCTTCTTCATTTTTTCTGTAGCTCTGTGCATCTCAACTCTTTTGTCTTTCACTACTTCTTCCAGCTTTCTGCTATCCTGTTCACCTTCCTCTAAAAAGAAGGTAGGTAATAGTCAAAGGAAGAAGAAAAAAGAAGAGGAGACTGTGTGGATTGTATGTAGGATTTTGTGGTTTTCCTATTTTTTAAAAGTTTTTTGCAAAGTTGAGATTCATTTTTTGAAAACACCGCATGGGATACGTGCTTGGAGGAGTAACTGAAAATAGTTTTTAAAGCTTGAAATAAGCTGTAAAAGCTTTATTATTGCGTTTAAGATCACTTTTCTTTCTTCTGTGCATGTAAAGGGTAGTACTAAAATTTCCCTTATGTTACAACTCTTGGGTCTCTACACTGCACACTGTTGAGTTCACCTCTCTGCACATCAAGAACTCCAGTTCTTATTTCATGTTTATTAAGTAAGACATTCACACTTCTCTAGTTAACTGGCATTATATGAGAGCCTTGCTGCAGCTGAGTGCTATTGACATCTGCCATGCAGTTGGAATATAATTGGAAATGTTGCCAGTTATTTAGCTTCTGCTCTTAAAAGTGTTTTTGACGCCCAACAGTAAACACTTTTGATGTCCCTGGACTGTTTAAAAGTATTTTTGCTCTCACAGATTTAAGCACTGGTTAGTTTAATCTGACTTTATTTTCGTACAGTTTTTAAAGACAGAAACTTCAAATGCAGTGCCTACACCTTCAAGTGCTGTCGTAGGAGTTCAGAAAAGTGTTGACTGTGCTGCAGTATTGGCTTGTTTTGTCTTCTAGGGTCATACCATCCTGCTTTATGCAGAGGTTTTTGTGCATGCTGGCTTCTGATTACCCCTTCTGAAAAATGCAGTCAGCAGTTCTTAGCTCTTACCTAATAGTTTGTGCAGATTATTCAGAGCCAATCGATCAGAACTCGAGGAGCTGTTTAGGATGTCATTTAGGAAGAGGTTCCAAAACAGCTGGTTTTGAGCCGTTACCTGCAGCTGATGAGCTCCAAAAAGAGCGAAACCAGTTAGGTCCTGCAGTACTGGCTGAAAGCTTTCTTCCAGGAACATCTGGTGAGGAAGGCTGGACAATGTTCTCTGCTGGAGGAAGTTCCCTCACCTTTTTCAATTCATCTAACACCAAAAGACCTTTGAACCTGTTCTCTTTAAGGCATACATGGTTGTGTTGCCTGTATCTGCCTGCCACTTTCCATTCCTTCTGGTTAGAGTCTCACTGGCTTTAATCACCAGTTTCAAGCAACATTTGGTTTTAAAAAAAAAACAGAAGGCTGAAAGATGAGATTAATGCACAAGTAAAAGAACTCACTGTGTTTGTGCTTTATAACTTTCAATATTGCCATCTTTGTTCACTTAGTAGTTTATTCACAAGTTGAAAGTGGCATATCAGGCTCTGTGTGTATGTGTGTACACAGTGTTGCCTTTTTATCCCAATTTTCCCAAATCTTAATGACTTAGTTCTTCCTTTAAGGAGAATACCTTTTTCTGCTCTTTTGTTTTTTGAGGTTTTTGTTTGGTTTGTTTTTCCTTACCTAGATCTCTGTTTTATCTTTTGCTTTGTTTTCTCTGTCTTTCTCTTCTAACAGTTCGCTATCAGATTCAGAAGGAAGTTTGAGTGGGCAGAAAAGCTGCTGATTTCTTAAATATGAGTGCTACTTTACTAGAGATTGGCATTAACCTTGTGTTCTCTGATGAAGCTATGGTTAGTAATTCAAATCAGACGGGCTGTCCAATGCTGCTATCAGATTTATTTATGAGCAAGTGACTACACATGAATTTTTAATATTTTTTTTTAAGGTTTGCTCATGTCTGTGTAGCTGTACTCCCCACACGTGAACCTGTACTTTCTGGGAAACTGAACAATTATCCAGACCTACACAAAGAGCAAAGTCAGCACCCTAACTAGTACTGTGGTGGCCACAGGCACTACAGTTTCCTGAAATAGGGTGGGTTGCTTTAACAACTCAGTACAGCTGAAGTTCTTCCTGTTCCTTCCTTCAGTTGCCCTTTTGCTGCCCACATGCCCTCCCACTGCTAGCTGTACAAATATACTGCTCCTTACCTTACTCTGCCTCTGGCAGGTCTTTCTAAAAGATGATATCTAAAAGGTGATAACTAAAATTCTATTCTATTTTTTTATTCTAACTTAGTATTGTACCAGTTGAAATCACTAATTTAAATACCTAGGAGATGAGAAAAAGGAGTTTTCCGCAGGGTTGCTGAGAAAAATCGGGTCATGAGAAGATGATGAGTGCCAGAGCTGTGTAAAGGCATAGGCACGAGGCTACACCACTGGGAGCAGAGAGAGGAGAGTTGAAAACAAGGTGGAAAAGTTTAAGACCACCTCATCTTAACAGAAATATGAGCATTATACAGCAGTCTGTGCAATTGTAGTTTCAAATTACAGAAGGAAGATTTATTACCTGGTTAGGACATCCTGCCTTTATAAAATTGGTGTGTAAAATTGCTGTAAGGAGATAATTTTGTCTCAACTTGGAGCCTTTCTTTAGAGGAGGAACGTTGGTAGACACCATAATCCTCTCAACATTCTTCTCTGTTTTGCATGCAGTTCTAAACTGCAGTCTGAGCTGACACGGCCAGTGACACCGTTATCTCCAAACCGCTTTTTAACAACATTTTTGTAACATTCAAGTTTTAAATAACATGGCAATTTTTAGCTGATTTTATGGCAGCATTACATCATGATCCTAAGTATTGTTTGTGCTAACAGTGTGGTCACATACTTCGATATAATCATGACAGCCAGACTTCAGCCTTTCCAGGAGTACATCGATTCCACCCACCACCTGGCTGGTGGGTAGAAAGCACCTACCAGCGCTTGAAGTAGGGTGGGTGTGGGGGAGTCTAGTGCCATCAGCTTCAGAGGACCATCAGGTTTTGGGTCAGTGTGATGTTGTGTATGGCAGTTCCTATCTGACAGTTGTTTCTTTTTTCGCATGTGGAAGGTCCCAAAGGCACCAGGTGGCTGCATGGAAGCAGTGACTAGAATTCTGATAACCATTGTCTGGCATCCATAGGGAGGGATGTACGGTGCTAGAGAAATGACGTGAGCCTTTAGTCAGTCTCTACAGATGTAGGTTGGTGACTGTCCACATGCTCTGTTTCCGTGAGTTCTCTTGTCCCCTCATCCGTGTTACACAGGTGAATGGGTGACAGGATTTGCTTTGTGGGTAGTAAAGAGGGAAAACCTGATGAAAACTTGCTGCTGAGACGAGGGATGTTGCTACAAGTTCAGTTTGTGCTCTTGGGGCAGAACGATCTAGTAGTATCTTGGTAGAGAATGAAAATAAAATGTCAGAATTGTTACTTTGTGAAGGTTCAGGCGTTGTTTTATGCAAGACACACTTTTGAATTTTTGTGTGAGTTGTTCTCAATAGACCTGTGCTTTTTTTCATGATTGCTAAAATTATATATGGTGTTCATGGGAAAAAAAACCACCAGTGTTTTCAAGTTAGATTTGTGTTTATTCTCATAGTCATTATTTCAATGCCATATCTGCCATGGTTTACCCACGGTTTAAACTAATTTCTGACTGTAAATAGAAGAAAGTGACGCTGCTCACTATGATTTTGGGTCTGTTCTCTTTAAAATCCTGCATTTGTCAGTTAACATATTTCACTATCCAAAAATGCATTCTCCAAAAGATGATATAATTGTGAGACTGCAGAAGACAGGATTGTGGCACTATTGTTTACATGGTATAAAGAGTAATTGGTGAGTTGGAATTTGTGATTTAAATTACAGCATAAAATAAAATCATTAACGGCATGATACAAACTGAAACATCAAGGCTTGAGCCTTTTCAAATCTTAAGTTAAAATGTGTGTCTTCCATCTTCTGTTACTGTAAATAATTCTTTTGGCTCTTTAGATTTTCATCAGAACAGTGTGTGTGGGAATGCTAATTAATTTGAATACTAATTCACACAGAGAGAGCCAGTCTGTGTTCAGAAGTGCTTACTCTTCACTGAACAGCAGAAAAGAGGGTGAAGATAGCTAGGAAAATAAAGAACAACATTTAAAAAGGAATCATGTTTTTACTCGAGTACTTAAAAAACTTTCCTGAGGGGAGAAAAAAAATTTAAAAGGGGAAGTGGGATTGTACGGTTCTCTGGTTCCCTCGTGGAGCACGTGCTTAGTGAGTAGCACTTCAATGAAGTAAGAACTTAGGACTCTATAATATTCACTGATTGTGGTGTCAGGGTTTCAGAGGTCTCTGGAGGTGAACAGGTAAGGTGAAGGATGCGGAAAGCGTGGGTTATATCCTGAAGCTCTCTGGTAGAGATGAGACTGCCTGTGCCGCTCCCATGAGTGAAGTTCTGTATTCACCCTTCTCAGTTCAGCATAACTGAACGTAAGCAAGCTGCTCGAGAGGAATCCTCAGCATTCAGATGTTGTAGTTATTGGTGTGTTTATGAGTTAGCCACTGGGAGATTTGATCACTTTGATATTTACTTTGCTTTTCCCTCTAATCCTACGTAGACTGTAACTGGGAAAATAAGGATGCTGCCAAAACAGTTGAATTGAATCACATTATCTCTGAGAAGAAAGCAAGTAGAGAATATGAACTGAAAGCCAAGCTCCTGCACTCTAAACAATCTCTAAGACAGAAAGAAAAAGAAAAAATATTAAGATGATTCCCAACACATTTGTATTTTCTTCACAAATTTTCACAAAAATACCCCCAAAATTATTGGGGATACCCACTCTCTGCAGTGCAGTAAATACAAGTAACCAGCGTAGGTGAAGAATCTGGTGAACTGCTGAGATAAGTTAGGGCTGCATTTTGAGGTCTCTTTCTTACGTAGAGGTAGTAGCACATCTGATACTTTGCTGTACTGAATGAAGCAAGATTTCAATCCCACGTGATGTTTGTCGATGAGTGTGACGGTGTTTCTGTTTCCTTCTCTAGATGCTGCGTAAAATACAAATGTGTTTAATGATGGGGATGGGGAAATGAAGGAGATGATGGACTTTATCAAGACGAGCATTGTGTTTTGTCACTGTGTTAACATATTTGATCACTTTTTATAATCTAGTGTTCTGACTAGAGGTTAGGTGTGGAGGGGGTTCCAATTTCTCATTTTTCACAATTGTATAAAGTCTTTGGTAATTGGGAAATACATTTTGGAATTTGAACCTCATGGGTTCAACTTTTCGTGGATTTCCAGAAAGCTTATATTGGTATCTATTTGTTTTAAAGAAGAAATGGGCTTCTTTGGTGTGGGGAAGACTGTGGTTGTTTTGGGCAAGAGTTCAGTAGTCTTGAGAGAGGGGATTCTGTTCTTTTCTCTGGTGAGACCCCCCGTTGCAGTGCTGTGTCCAGTTCTGGGGTCCTCAGCACAGGAAAGACATGGACCTGTTGGAGCGGGTCCAGAGGAGGCCACCAGGATGATCCGAGGGCTGGAGCAGCTCTGCTGTGAGGACAGGCTGAGAGAGTTGGGGCTGTTCAGCCTGGAGAAGAGAAGGTTCCAGAAAGATCTTATTGCAGCCTCTCAATACTTGAAGGGGGCCGATAAGAAAGATGGGGACAGACTTTTTAGCAGGGCCTGTAGTGACAGGACAAGGGGTGATGGTTTTAAACTAAAAGAGGAGAGATCTAGACTGGATGTAAGGAAGGAATTTTTACACTGAGGGTGGTGAAACCCTGGCCCAGGTTGCCCAGAGAGGTGGTAGAAGACCCATCCCTGGAAACATCCAAGGTCAGGTTGGACGGGGCTCTGAGCAACCTGATCTGGTTGAAGATGTCCCTGCTCACTGCAGGGGTTGGACTAGATGGCCTTGAAAGGTCCCTTCCCACCCAAACCAGTCTGTGATTCTGTGATTGCTCTGTGGACGAGAGTCCTCTGAAACACAACAGCGAGGCGTATGCGTTTCACCACTTCTGTCATGTAACGTGTTGTACATCCCCCAGCTGTGGCTGCAGTTTGAGGGAGCTGATAGCGTACTTGAGCTTTGAAGGTATATTGTTGCTCATGTAGTTTATTGAGATTTTCTATTGGCATATGTGCATCTGTGCAGAGTTCTTTTTTTCTTTTTTTTTTTTTCACATAGAACCTTTAAAATTATCATCATTTTAAAAAAGCATTTTGGGACTTCCTATTACCTCCTGCTGTTTCTAAGTTAGTCCAGGAAAGTCTTCCTAGTTACTTGCTTGAAAATGCATGTATTTTATTATGAGTGCACAGAGAATTCAGATGATCCCTGATCTTTTCATTTCCTACTTTCAGTGTTTTTTTTATAGTTTTAATCCAATCTAATTGTAACAAATAATAACAAAGTTAGATTTAGTAGCTCATTATAAAAAATGACTGGACACTTAAATATTTATTTGAAGTTTTCTGGCTTGTAACGCTATTTTTGTTTTGATTTCAGAATGCTCTCTTTAGTTGTATTAACAGAAATGAAAGTAAGTATGGAATGAATAGTTTGTCCTTTTTGTTTTTCTATTATACCTTTCTATCCTTTTTTCTCTAAAAATGTAAGAAATGCTGTGGGTGTACATATACACAAATCACATGGATTCGGTTCCATAGAAGGTCAAACCCCATGCATAAATTTTCTTGCTAAAGTGATGAGGGGATTGGGCTGCTTATATAATTTATATCAGTTTTTAATTTGTGTATCTGTATTTGTTTTTTCTGTCCTATTTTGATGATTACTTAGAAGCTCATTTTTTCCTTTTGCTTTGTTGATTTGATTAGTGCTAAGTAACAAAAATAAACGCCTAGATGAAGTCTTGCACCATGCAAGTCTGTCTATATAAAATGAAATCAGTGTCTCAGAATTAATTCTGGTGAAAATATTTCTCGAGAACTGTATATAACATATTGAAATTGAGTGAATCATGATACCATCTGGCTCTTTTTTGAATGAGGTTTAGCATACTACTCTCACTTATTTGTTTACTATTAATATTTGTCTAATAATTCAATTATAGGACAAGTCTGTTTACCTTGAAATAAGAACAAAAAAGCTGAAGAGAAGATTCAGCTGGCTTGCTGGTGTCTTGAACTTCAGTTCAAGAGAGCTTTAGGAACTTTTTTTTCCAGCCAAACAAACAAATGTAATTTGGCTAGAGTTCCAGATATTCCAGATATGATTATTTTAATACAGCATAGAAGATTTTCTTCTCTTTTTTTTTTAACACAGTAATACATTGAGCATCATTGTGTGTGGTACAGACGTGGTCATTTCTTCATTTCTCTGGGTAGGAACCCATAGATTTTCTGTTGTTTGTTTGTTTGTTTCCCCAGTGGGGTCAGTCTGTTGCAGTTATGCAGGTCATCATACCAACTGTCGGGAATATTGTCAAGCCATTTTTCGGACAGACTCTTCTCCTGGTCCTTCACAAATTAAAGCAGTTGAAAATTACTGTGCATCTATTAGCCCTCAGCTTGTACACTGTGTGAACAACTATACGCAGTCATACCCAATGAGAAATCCTACAGACAGTAAGTACCAAAAATCCTTCTTTAGTGAAAGTTATAAAAAATACTGAAAATGTTTGAGGGTTGTATGTGCTTTTTATATAAAATGTGTTATTGTCTAAGCCCATTGTATTAATGTATTTCTATATTAGAATTATATGTATTTATATAATGATAACTTTTGTTTGTAGATGCATTATTGATTTTTATTTGGTTTTTTTTAATTCTACATATTGGTGTTGTTTTTTTCCCAGAGTCGATTCTGTTTGCATTTAAAAGAAGCGTTGTTATTTGAGATTATTTGAGGGTGGTGACAGGGAAAGCTTCCTTGTAGCACTTTGTCTCTGAGGGTTCTTATGTCATGCATCCTGGTGGTTGTTGTATGCTTGATCATTAACTATTTTAATTTTTTAACAGGTTTGTATTGCTGTGATAGAGCAGAAGACTATGCATGTCAGACTGCTTGTAAAAGGATTCTAATGTCAATGAAAACAGAGCTTGAAATTGTTGATGGGCTTATAGAAGGCTGTAAAACAATGCCTCTCCCTCAGGACCCGCTTTGGCAGTGCTTTCTGGAGAGTTCCAGATCTGTTCATCCCGGAGTCACAGTGCACCCTCCACCTTCGACAGGACTCGATGGAGCAAAGCTCCATTGCTGTTCTAAAGCAAATTCTTCCACCTGTAGGTCAGTGTCTCTCTACCCTCATTTTCAATTGTGAAAACACTTCAGAAGTTGTCTGATATCCGGCCTTTGCCTGAATCCTACTATGTATATCAAATAAAGAGTTCTGTGAATTCCTAGAAAAAACACAGCTTTAGTTAATCAGATGGGTGTCACATTCTGTCCAATATTTACTTTGCATCTCAAAAAACACTGTTCCATAAAGGGGAATCACACTTCTCTCACTTTCAGCACTGGCTCATAGCAGACACAAAATTAAAGAAACCTGTACCTTGCTGTAAAAGCCAGTATTGCAACAAGATGGAAAGGCCTTAATCAGATACTAAAGAAAGCCGAGGGGACAGTGCAGTGCACAAACTCTCTAGTGCCTGGTTGCTGCATGTTAAAACCTCAGTAGTGTTTCTTACTGGATGCTGTTCAGATTTTTGTCATGTAAAAATAATTCCTTATTAATAAGTTATTTAATAATAAATTAAATAAATAATTTAATTTAGTAA